CCTCCCTCCCTCCCTCCCTCCCTCTGTGTCTCTCTATATCAGTGGTGGGTTTCAAAAATTTTTGGAACCTCTTCTGCAGGTGTGGCCTGCTTTCCGGGTCCACTGGTGGAACCTCTTCTAACCAGTTCGGTAGATTTGACGAACCGGTTCTACTGAATAGGTGCGAACTGGTAGGAACCCACCTCTGATGTGCTCCAGATCTCCTGCATTAAAGATTGTCATAGTGTCAAAGGAAGTGTGTCTCTTCTGTTGCTGCCCCTATCCTTTTGGAATAATATCCTCCCCACCCAACCCCGAGTTACAAAAGGTGCCCCTTATCCTGAGTTCCAGAAAGTCACTAAAACCTGCTTTGTTCCCAGGCCTGGGGTTAACATAAGGGGTGGATAGGTTGTCCTATTTTTATTCTTGTGTTTTAATCCAGGCTGCCTTAATAAATTTAAGTAAATAAAAGAAAACGATTTTGCCTCCCCATTTTGAATTAAGACAGCTAATAAGGCTGAAGAAAGGCCCAGGTTGATTTTAGATTATGTGTAGTGTTACCTAAGAGGACCATCACTTATATCAAAGGAATTTCACTCTCATCTCTTCCACCCAATACATGTTCCAAATTCTGTTCAGATGGGCCTCTTACACTTTTGATAAGGGTGTTGGGAGCAAGCTGTCATTAGAAGCAACCTGTTCCCATGAATGCATTGCTTGAATACATTGCTTTTTTCATAAATAGAATGTGGCTAGGATCTAATATCATCCTTAGATATTAGGATAATAACTCAGATCCCCTCCAGGCTATATGGGGAAAAATTGTCATGGAATTGTGCTTGAATACTAAATAAAGCATTTATTTGACGGGGCAGAGAAGCTTGTGATGCTACAAAAGAGAATTCTGTGCTTTAACTTTCCCCTGTTGCACTCTAGTTCTGCATCTTTTCTTAGTCTTGCTTATAGCACAGATTATTTGCAAAACTTGCTACAATCACATGAAATTAACTGGTAATTTCCCTTGGATTTCCACTTCTTATATGTGGAACACTGTGGACAAAGCTTGTTGACGAGACTTTCCCTCTTATGCTGTCACAGTGAAATGAAAAATAGTTGATCATCAGATACCAATGTAGTGTTATAACTGTAGAAGTAGCACTGAATAAAATTTAAAAAATAGATTTGAAAAGAACACACTAGTTGGTTTATTTGTGGATTACAAACCCAGCATTAACTGTTTCCCTAGAAAACTGATCTTCTCTTTCCTGGGTCGTCTTTTGATAATGTAGTGAAATACTGTGATTCATCTGCCAATATTTTTTTTAAGTACAATCTGCCAGACAATTGTTGAGTCTCCACAAAACAGGAAGCGTGGGCTTCCTATCTGTTTTTGGATAAGTACTTACAACCTAAAATGTAGCACGTTGGGTTTATTCACAACAAAGGAAATCCTCTACTTCCCATCATAACATGTTGCCTCAAAGGAAATGCGCGTGTGTGGGCATGGGTGCGGAAACCATCCCATGTGCGACTCTCAGGAAGTAATTTTGTGGCCATCCTGTAGAATCTTTTAACACATTTGGATCTCTCTGTCGGGTGTGGGGGGAGACCCCATGGGCCTGATAAGCAGCTGGATAAGCAGATGTGAAAGTCAGATACTTCAGTTAAAGGACGGTTGTAGATTGTGGACCAAGGTGGGTCTGGATAGGAGGCGGGGGGGGGCATTTCTGAGAGCATAAAATGTTCTGCAAAGGGAAATGCTTTAGGTAGCATGTTGTGGGTTGTACTTCACAACATAGGCTGGACTAAAAAAGTACAGCGAGGGAAACATAACTGTGATTTAATTGAATTATTTTACTAAATTACACTGACCAGTTAACATGATTATTCTTCGTTGAATTAGGAATTTCCCCACTTCCAACTCATAGAAAGTTAATGTTGATTGGCAGGATGGGGAGGGAGTCTAGAGATGGGTATCAAGGCTATTGAGGGCTGCATGTGGGCCTTCAGCACAATGGGTGCCAGGACCCCACCCGCCCATAGGGGAAACGGTTATGGGGAAAATAGAGAGCGCGGGCAGGAGAACCACGCCAGGAGAGAAGGCTTTGGGGAAGGAAGTGGGGGAGTCATGAACCGCACCACACCCACTTTTGGGATTTCTGGTTAGTGATCTCGGATTTTGCACGCACGCTTTAAAATTTTGAGGAGGGGGGTAGAAATAGGAGTGATACAATTTACTTCCCAAATCTGACGCGCCATTTGAATAGGTTGGAAGCTGGGCATGAAGAAGATGTGGTATTTATATTATTAGATACAGCTTCAGTTGATGAATATTGCCTGTGGAGAGAGAAGACCGCATCATTAGTAATACAAGAAGGTTCACACCAAAACTTGGCTTGTTGTTTATTAGTTAGTTTTGTATGCCGCCCACTCCCGAAGGACTCCGGGCTTGACGTGTGTTTTCTATTATTTCATTTGAAATAAAAATGTGTTCAATTCTTCAGGTCTTCATCCTGCCCCATCTGTTGTAGCATCCTTATTTTAAATGTGAATTTTTATCCTGAAATAGAATAGGGAGCTCTGCGGAGAAGTGAAAGCAGACACCACTTTAGTAGTTAGAGGTGGCGCCGTGGGTAGAGTGCAGTACTGCAGGCTCCTTCAGCTGACTGCTAGCCGCAGTTCGGCAGTTCAAATCTCACCAGGCTCAAGGTTGACTCAGCCTTCCATCCTTCCGTGGTGGGTAAAATGAGGACCCGGATTGTTGGGGGCGATAGGTTGACTATGTAAACCGCTTAGAGGCAGCTGTAAAAGCACTGTGAACTGGTATATAAGTCTTAAGTGCTAGGCCTAGGACCCGGATATCTGCGAGACCGTCTTCTGCCACATACCTCCCAACGGCCGATAAGATCTCACAGGATGGGCCTTCTCTGGGTGCCGTCGACCGGACAATGCCGGCTGGCGGCTACTCGGGGGAGGGCCTTCTCTGTAGCTGCTCCGACCCTATGGAACGACCTACCCCCCAGAGATC